TCTCTCTCTCTCTCTCTCTCTCTCTCTCTCTCTCTCTCTCTCTCTCTTTCGCTTTCCTCTCTCTGTCTCTTTCTATGTTCGCGCTCGGCTGGTGCCGCTTGTAAACTTAGAATCGACACCTCGGCTGGTTAATTATACCTACATACATTGTATGTGTAACCAAATGTTTCGATCAGCTTCGAATCCGTCCAAAGTTTGAAGGCGTCGACGAAGTAGAAAGAGACAGTTTGATGAAGAAGAAAGAGAGACTGACAAGGGAACGGGCCCAGATATGACGCTAATTTTTTGACGAGCCTTTGCACAGTGGAAAACTGAAGCGAATGATATTCAGTTTTGGGGGCAGACGATTTATAGTTTACGAGATATTCAACATTGAATATCTCATAAACTATTATAAGCGATTCTGTCAATAGCGAATTCGGTGTGGTCAGTAAAGCATCAGCATAATAATTCCTCTGTCGCGAGTTTGAGTCCCGGTGAAACATTCTTACACTATTCTTTTTTTTCACTTTCTTTTAAAAATACATTCGTTAAATATGACTTATTTAGGTAATTATAGAGAACAGGTACATCCTCACCGATTTCGATGATTTTTGAATATGTTGTAGAAATCAACATTTTGAACAACTTTTTCCTATACGTATAACCGTCGCTCGGCCTTAGTTTCCGAGATATTTGCAAAATACCATTACTACTACTACAATGAATATTGCGTATAGAAACGCGTCCGTGACAGCGTGTGTGTAACCGTTGAGTCCTCGATTGTTTAGGCTCGGAATACACGTCCGCGTCTGTGAGTCTGTATGCGTTAGCTATCATTCGTCGGTCGGCTCGTGTTTCAATCTGTTTCGAACTCATTCATACATATCAAGTAGCGCATGATCTTTATTCGTACAGTAAAAAAATGGGGGTCCGGGGGCTAGCCACCGGTCGTGAGTTTGGGGGCGAAGCCCCCAACAACGTGTACTGCAGAAGGCTACGCGCTAGGCGGCAGCGTCAATGTCCTTCGATGCACGTCGAGTCACTTGTTCGCGTACAAGCGCGGCCGCCAGCGCGTAGCCTTCGCTACCGCGGCCGCTCCAACGGTCTACGCGCGCTCTGATTGGTCGGGGTTTTCGCTTAATATCTCCTTAACGAAGCCCCATCCGACATTTTTGCAAAGGAAATTGTTGTTCAGAATCGTCTCAGCTACCCCCCGTTTCCGGCTCCTCCCCGACTTTTGGGACAACCTGTATATACATATGCAAAAGTAAAATATATAAGCTCGGGCGCTTCATACTTTTAGTACGGTACTGAACCATGCTGAAAGGCATTTTTAGATTATCGGAATACCAGCAGCAGGAGAGACGACACCAGCGCTGTGGTGTGCTGTGGTGGAGAGCGTGAAACTGAAGCCATTGTGCAAGCGCATCAGTCTTCTCGATTTCATAACGACAACACCATTGTAATTTTATGAGGCGAGGAAACGACCTTTCGGGCTGATTTTTTTTTTTAACTGTTCCTTACAAAATTCCGTTGCAGGAGATACATACACATTTTGCAATTTCGCTTTCGAAACTTGCTAAAAATACGTTCAAAGACAAGAAATTTTTTTTTTTCAATTTTTTCCAAAAAACGCTTGACGAGACGATAGATTTACTTCCCCTGATTATGAAATGCATAATTATTATATGTTTTTTTCATTATTGTGCCTGAAAAACGGGAAAAACTATCTAGTAGTTCACCTACTTTCCGTTGGTGGCGCCAGTTTGTCTCCTGCGCACCCTTAAAAATAAAACCGCACGGACGCGTAACAGCAGGAAGTAACCTGACACCACCAACGGAGAGTAGGTGAACTACTAGATAGTTTCTTCCTTCGACCATATATACTTATAGACACGGCTTTAGATAAATGTTTTGCAATGATAAAATCATCTATGTGACGTCACATGAGAAAATCTTTTTTTCGTTACTTTGCTTCACTTCGATTCGTAGATTCATGTATACAGGCCGTGTCTGCGAGTATATGTATATGGTCCAAGCTTTGTCCAGTTTTTCAGGCACAATAATGAAAAAAAAAAACACAAGGGTGCGCAGGAGCCAGAGCCAAATTCCGAGTTGACTTCAGCGACAGTTGTGGAAATAATAGGAAGCTAGCAAACAAGGATAATCATAATTTGATTGAAAATAAAGAATCACTTATTTCCGTAAAAATCGAACGTTTCACTTCGTCGCTCGGTATGGTTTCTTTATCTTAACAAACATAAACATCCGTTTATTGGCGAAGGTTTCAATATACATGTTGAAACCTTAAAATTCTTAAGAACGAAAAAGCACTTTACTCGAAAAATTAATTGTTCAAAAGAAAAGCCCTAACTACAAAGAGAGAAAGAAATTATAAATGTGCAAATAGTATACATTCATCTTGTTTTAATATTATTTGACATTTTATTGTGTATATAATAATGAAAATATATTACAAACTCATATTCTGTTACGAGTCGCCAGATGAAAATACATCATTAGAAAGAGTACTTTTATTTTACAAAAAAAGTTTCACATTTAATGTGCTTACTTTTCTACAATGAATAACATATTGAACTGTGAATGGTTGTTTCTTTGTACTAAAATGAGCTCTTTGTATGTAGTATGAGATCAAGCTACAATACACGTTCTATGCTCAACAGTGGTGTATGTACATCCGAAATAATCATTGAGTATATTAAAACACAGAATTTACATTTTTTACCATGTTATCTGTTTCTGCAATGTCAACAAAATCCTTTACGCCTTTAGGCCGTACAGATAATGTTATGCGAGCACCGTTTTCATTCCATTTGACTTTGAGTAATACACAACATCCTTTTTCTATTTATAACAAAAAATATTACGAAATAACTCAAACAACTAAGTTATTATTATTATTATAAGATAGGAATACACGTACCAAGTTGTCCTCGTTCGTAAGCAGCAGCCAACTGATTAACAACGCGTCTTTCTACTTCATATTTGATAGAACGAGCACCATAATGAGTATCGTACCCATCTGCTAAAACTGACAGAACTTCCCTATCCCACTTCAACTCTATGAAATGCCTTTCTTTTGCGCGTACTGCCCAAGTATCTAATTCTTTGCCCACTAATTTTATAAGTTCGGACCGGGAAAATGGTAGAAAATAAACGATTTCATTTATTCTGCCTAAGAACTCGTCCCTTCGGAAATGAGTTTTCAATATGGGTCGTACCTGCGAGGTATTTAATGAAGTAAATTGCAATACATTTTCAAGAATAAATGAACACATACCACTTCATCCTTAAATTTACGGGATATTTCAATGTGTTCTGGGGCCTGATCCTCATCAGAATTTTTATCAAGTCTGAGATTTAAAAGACGTACGGCTTCTTCTCTAAGTTGTATTGCATGTTTAGCAATTACTTCGCTTGCTAAATTTGATGTCATTATAAAGGTTGCATTTTTACATTCAATAGTTTTTCCTTTGCCATCTGTTAGCCTTCCCTAAAAAGAATAAAAACTGATTATTAGCATGACGATTTTCAATGCAATATATAAATACACAATACCAAAAGTATAATACTTCATCAAAAAGTTGTAATAGAACTGTTAATACATCAGGATGAGCTTTGTCAACCTCATCGAATAATACAACAGCATTAGGACACTTCTTCAAAAGTTTCGTTAATTGACCACCATCATCGTGCCCCACATATCTAAACAAAATAATGAAATAAAAAAATATTTCACTATATAAATTATACATATATTATGTATATGATATAGACCCTGGTGGTGCTCCAATTAGTTTAGCAACTTCATGTTTTTCCTGATACTCTGACATATCCAATCGAATAAATCCATCTTTCTTATTTTTATGAATATATGCAGCTAATTGCTTAGCTAATTCCGTTTTTCCAATTCCCGACGAACCTAAGAAGAGAAATACCAATGGATGTTCTTCATCTATCCAACCATTCTCTTTTCTTCTGATTGCTGCAATTATATAAATTTTTGTATCATTTTAATTCATTTATATATCATTATTTTATCGAATAAAGTAAACCTTACTGGATGCAACAATTGATATTGCTCCTTCTTGTCCAACAATATGTTGTTTTAAGCGTTGTTCTATTGGAAATCTACGACGTTCTTCTATTTCCTGTATACAATATTTGGGAAAAATATGGATAAGAAATAATACTATGTAGAAGTCAAAGATGAACTTTAAACATTAGTACTTTTTCCTTCATTATTTCATCATATTTCAGAGCATGATTTGTAAGCATTTCTTTTAGTTCTTTGTCTCTAGCATATTCTACTGCACGATGACCAGACTCATTTTCTATTGTTGGATTTGCTCCTCCATCTAATAATGCTTTTATACAGGCTTTTGAATCTGCTAGTACAGCATAGTGCAATGGCGTGAAACCTTTGAAGCTAGCTCTACTATTCAAACGGTCAGAAAATTCTTCCTCCCTTATTATGAGTACTAAAAGTTTTGAAAAGATATGTATGCAATAATATGCAACCAATTAATTATACAATAACGTCTATAATGCAATGTATGATATATCATTTTTTATGCAACTTAGATAAGCGAATTTTTTAATTGTTGGGCTATTTAAACTTTTTAATTATACAATTAATTGCAAGCTATACCATCTAAAGAATTTATCCTTCTTTCTGCAGCGGTTTTATAAACATTGACAAATTCATCTCCTGCATTAACATCTGCACCTTTTTTTATTAATAGTTTGATTACTTCTACTCTTTCATTAATAGCAGCAACATGTAATGCTGTCCAACCTAATGTATGACGTGTATTTACATTAACACCATCTTTTAGAATCTATAAGCAAAAATGGTATTAATTATCGATCCATATAAAAAATAGTGTAATATATTTACCTTTTCTAATTCAGCAATATTGCCGTGTTGTACAGCTCGAAAGAACTGTTTTTCTGTAACAAGTAATCAATTCTTACAAACTGTTGTTTGTATATATATATAAAATGTAGCACGAAAAGTACATACCCTGTTTAAGATTTGGTGCTTCGCAAAGAGCTATAATTAATCCAAAACAACTTAGTATAAGTCCCAAATTTTTGTAATATTTTCCTCCATAGTTAATATCATATTTATTATATGCTACTTTTGTTTTCGTAAATAAAGAGCGAATTTGTTTTGAAGGAAAAATATCCAATTCATATAATGGATAAATATGTTTTTCTAATCTCCAACAAAGTTGCATATAACCTTTACTACTTTGATGGAGAATATTTTTGGTTTCACTAATTTTTCTAATATATATGTTTCTTAACAAAGTCTCTGAATTTTTAGCACTTTTTATACTTAAATAAAGTCGCAAATTACACAAACGTGCCATTTCATATGAATTTGACAGATACTTGTACATTTAAATCATGTGACATCTTCTTATAAATACAAAGCAATATTGCCTGTTAGCATGTAACTTATCGGTGCGTAAAATCATTGAATGACTGCCAATAGCTAATATAACGAATCACCCACATTAATTACACATTTTTCATTTTTGATACAGGCGGAGCGCTACCGTAATTCTTTTATTGAAGTCGGATGATATTAACGTCAGTCGGTAACCATTTGTCGTAGACGGATCTTAGATGCATTATATTATAGAAAGCTTGTCCACAATAAAGATATCCCCATAAAAAAACTTCAAAAAAGTAAAAAAAATTACGCCAAGTACATGAAAAAGTCTATGACAAAACGGAGTATTATCAAATAAATCACAAAAAAAAATAGAAGATCTCCAGAAAAAACTACAAGAAAGTAAAAAAAGATGTGAAATCGAAATAAACTGCAAGGTGCTTTCCATCAATGTATAACACAATGTAATAAAATAATTTTTGGAAAAAATATAACCGACTTAACAAAATATTAAAACTGAACTAAAAAGTATGAAATAATTTATATTTTTTTTTATATTAAATTATATTGAATAATATATGAAATTTCTATTTCCTTTATATTAAATTATATTAAATAACTTTTCTTGAGGCAATGCAAAATGACAAATTACTTACATTAAAAATTACTTACATTAAAAATGACCAAACTTGTTTTAACTTTCTGTCGGAGGAACAAAACATATGACCTTGAATTTTTGCTATCATTGTATGTATTAAAAGTAAAATAACATTATTTCGGCAAAAAAATCACGAGAGAATCTCATTTAGAGTACTTACGACAACATTTAACAAAATCAATATTGTTTAGAGGACAATAATCAATAAAGTATTATTTATATTATTTTAAGTAACATTTAAGAGTTATTCTGTTATTTTCTTCTATTTTCAGGTATATTTTATTGCATCATATATATATTTGATATTTAAAATAATACATTTTAAACATTTGAATTCAACATATATGTTGAAACTATAGTATAACTATACATATACTTATACAACTATACAACTATATATATATACTTTATACTATAAAACTAGTTTATATACAGGGATAGGATATTCAAGTAATTTATTCATTCATGTTGTAAATATTCAATGTACTCTTATAACATCTATTAAATGGATTGTCGAATACCAAATACATTTTTTTGTATTCGGTATGTGATTATTATTGATTACTTAATGATGGTATTCAGATTCACTAATAAAAGAAAGATACATCATTGTTACAAGTCATACAATGTGGCAATTCGTCGCAAACAAATATTTCTATAATCAATATGTAAGCCATGTACAGACCAAAGCCAAGGCAATCCAAAGGCACATGTGCTTGGATGTCGCGTACGCCAAGATCTGATAACATGTGCTTTCAATTGTCTTGGCTCTTTGACTCTTTGGTTAGTATACAGCTTTAGACTTTAGACAATTCGTATACGATTACGGCATTTGAAAATTCGTTTCACGATCGACATATTGGCGTGTAAACCAATCGTTTCCATTCGTGATGTTATACTATATATAAATTCGAAATTTCTAAAAAAGGAAAAAAAGGTAGTATATAGGAAAATAATAAGAACTCATCATTACGTTCCGCTTATTATTTACCGATCTGGTAATTTCCTTCTGGTGAATTCTGTTCGTATTGATCCGTTACTTTCGATCCTTCGAGAGAGAAAGTTGACGTTATTCACGAAGGAAGATTCCAATGGCGCATAATTCCAGAATGTTCCAGAGCAACCGACCGACCAATAGGAGTTGTGTAGCGCAGCGCCATGATTGGTGAATTTGCAGCAGCAGAAGTTAGCAGAAGGAAGTAAGAAGTAATCACAGTCACCGTGCGGAGGGCATTTCGTTCAGTCTATTGCGTGATTGAAGCTGGAATAGAAGGGGTATCGTGAATCCAACGTTCACGTTAGTTACAAAACGGTTACTGAGCACCTGGTGATCCGGTTATACATCGTTTCACGAGGATAAACATCGAATTTACGGTCTAAGATCGACGAATTTATTCAGTGTCGTAAAGAAAACGTCGAACCAGTCTATCAACCATGGCTGCTATGTCCGTAATCGGAATCGACTTCGGCAACGAGAGCTGTTATGTAGCCGTAGCACGCGCGGGAGGCATTGAAACTATAGCTAATGATTACAGTCTTCGGAGCACACCGTATGTTTTCTTTATTTAAGTAATCATTTTCTAATTGTTTGTCTACCATTACGAGATACCGGTGCGCACCGGCCCCTCGATTACTCGCCTGCTCTTGCGAGTCATCCGATGGAAATTTACGTGAAAAAAATGTAATACGGAATGAAAACATAAATGATTGATCGTAGCGTAAATCGAATGTAGAATTCGGTGGGGATTATTTCAGCACTGCCATTTATGTCTAAATCGTTTTGTCTATTTGGGTGTCGTGTTTAATGTCACATGACTAACAAGTACAACAAAAATTCACAAAATTTGATATGTTCCTTTAAGGCAAAGTCCTCTACCGATTTCATTCAGAACGTTTTTTTAGCAAACATTTTTTAGCCAATTTAACAGTATTCTATTTTTTGTACGAAGAACGAAGGATTTGTTAGGCGACTCCGATTAAAAATATTAAAAATTTTTAAATGTGATCTGTAATTTGTAGATTATTTACTGTAATTTTATATATTTAATTTTATTAACTATATTTGTTAGTAACATGTTAGGAATTCAGAGCTTTTGAGCTATTTATTTTTCTTGCATGATAGTATTGAATTATGCCAAATATATAAATGAAGAAATTAAAAATACCAAAATATTTTTTAGTTTTTGTAAGTTGTTAAAACATTAAAGATTATGGTATACATTATTACTCATTTTATTATTAATTATTTTGACATAAAATAGCTTCATTACTTTTAAAGCATTAATTTTAAAGCATTAAATGATATTGCAGAAATATGTTTTATACATTTTTGGTATATTTATTTATTTATGTCTTTGAATATTTTACTTTAGAGGATATTATGACAAAGATGTCTATGATTAATGAATAATTTTACCTTTAAATCTTTTTTAAACTATGTCAACTAAATTTGGCATGCATGTAGTTTTATAATGATCTAATTATTTTAGAAGTAATTCTTATTTACATAATATAGTAATTATCGATTTATACATGTTAAGCCAATAATAACAATACAAAATCAGTTTTGTGTATTTAGTTATATATTATATAAATAAAATATTAGAACTAATGAGAATGGTTGGTTTTAGATCATGCGTAGCATTCAGTGGAAAAAATCGAATTCTTGGTGTAGCAGCCAAGAATCAAATGGTAACTAATATGAAAAATACTATTCATGGGTTCAAAAGATTATTGGGTAGAAAGTACAATGATCCACAAGTACAGCGAGAGCTTCAGATGTTACCATTTAAGGTAACTCAGCAGGCAGATGGTGGAGGTATTGGTATACATGTAAGTTTTTGACATAGTTCTTATATTACTAATGTTTCTTAATGTTAAAGATTAAATACTAAGTAGTCATATATCACTATTTCAAACAATATGTAAAATAATCCTAATATTACATAATAAAAAATATGTAATTTTGTAAATATTCTGCATTCTCTTGATGTTATTTAGATCTCATTTGAGATATAATATGGTAATGCATTATGCTATTAATGTTCTTTTTAATGTGACTAAATTCAATATTAATCTGGGCATTTCGCCAGACTTCTCACATTTATGAAGACTCGTAACTTATTTATATCTCTTTAGAGCAGTTAAAACACGATGAATCATATAGCTTGTGATTTATAGATTGAAAATTGCAATAACTGCGATAATTATAATAGAAATTATTTACATTTGCTTATAAATTTTAGGTACAATATTTGGGAGAAGAACAGATTTTTACACCTGAACAAATAACTGCAATGTTATTTACAAAATTGAAAGATATATCCGAAGCTGCTCTTCAGACTGTTGTTAATGATTGTGTTATTTCTGTTCCTTCTTATTACACACAAGCTGAACGTCAGGCACTATTAGATGCTGCAAGAATTGCAGATTTAAATGTTCTTAGATTATTTAATGAAACAACAGCTACTGCTTTATGCTATGGCATTTACAAACAAGATTTGCCAGGGGCTGATGCACCTCCAAGAAATGTAGTCTTTGTCGATTGTGGATATGCTAGCTTACAAGTAAGCATTTGTACTTTTCACAAAGGCAAACTAAAGGTGAGTAACAATTTTAAATTAATTTAAATTAATGTGTAGTAATTATTTATAAAAATTTAAGTTGCTTTGTTAGAGAAAGAAATAATTCCTTTATGGTTATGGGAGTTCTCAAAAATATAAGGGTATCACCTTTTTTCATTGCATTAGATTACATATTTTGTAAATGTTATTTGCAGATGTTAGCAAGTGCAGCTGACAGTCAATTAGGTGGTAGAGATATAGATTCTATTTTAGCAGAACACTTCTGTAAGGAGTTTCGTTCACGTTACAATATTGATGTACACACTAATCCACGTGCATACTTAAGGTTATTAGCAGAGGTAGAAAAGCTGAAGAAACAAATGTCAGCCAATTCAACAACGCTTCCTCTTAATATCGAATGTTTCATGGATGACAAAGATGTGCATGGCGATATGAAACGTGCAGATATGGAAGCAATGTGCGTACATTTATTTAAACGCGTAGAATCAACATTACGGCAGTGTCTTGAAGATTCTAGTAAGTTTTAATTTTAATTAAATTTAATTAAAATTCTCATTGCAGATATGTCTTATATGTATGTAAAATAGTAAATCTTTTAACTGGTAATGTTTTTTTGTAGAATTGAAATTAGATGACATTCATTCGATTGAATTAGCGGGAGGTTCTACTCGCATTCCCGCTATTAAACGATTAGTGGAAGATGTCTTTGCCCGTACTGGATCTACAACACTGAATCAAGATGAAGCTGTTGCTCGTGGGTGCGCACTTCAGTGCGCAATGTTGAGCCCTGCAGTAAGAGTCCGTGATTTTGCAGTGACTGATATTCAACCCTATCCATTGAAATTAACATGGCATGCTACCCAAGGCGAAGAAGGGTACGTTTAATTTGCATTATATATATATCCTATGCTTAAGGGGGTCCTTGTTGACCGAAACATTAATCAGATTTAATCATTTTTTTTTAACCATTTGATAGATGTTTTTACTCAATAAGATAGTAACCCCCTTTAACTATATTTAAATAACATTCTTCTAAATTCTATGAAATTTACTATATTAGTGAAATGGAAATCTTTGGACACAATCATCCTGTACCATTCTCAAAGATGTTAACATTTTATCGATCGAGCCCATTTACGCTCACTGCCAGTTACAGTACACCGCCACCATCGTATCCTCAAACTCACATTGGTATGCATTTCCAGACTTTTTCTCTTATTATCTATATTATTTATTTATTTAATAAAATT